TGCACTTGATTCCAGTCACCCTTCACTGTAGCAGGTGAGGGCTGGCATAAGTGAAACTGCTATAGATCACTAAAGAACTGAAAGAAACTCATTATAACTACCAAACCTTATCCCCTCTTTAACTACACACACTTCAACAATAAAAAGATAAGGGATGCAGATCAAATGCCATTTTACCATTCATCCAACTAGGTTACTCCTGTTCCACCAATCAAATACTGTACTACTTCAGTGGGAGGCACAATTATTATTTCTAAAGTGTGTAGATTATATACAAGAAAACAGTACATTTCTGCCTTGAACATACAGTATGTGACTTCCAGTGAGATTATTAACATTTCTGGAAACGAAAACTAAGAAAACAATGCCTCTTGCCTACTTATCCTTAATTTCTTCTTCTGAGCAACCTACAGGTACACACCTTTTGGGGTGGTAAGGCGCTCATGTCATTCTCACACTAACTCTGCTTCTTCAATATCTATAATTACCACAGAAGATCTGCCTTTCAAAAATCATTTATTGAACTTTTGGCAATCTCTGACAGCAAAGCCAGTCAAGCATTATGTTAACCAAGTTTATGTTTGTGTGTGGATTTGTGTACGAGTGTATTAGTTGGTATACAGTACAGTATGTGTTACAACTTTATCTAATATACATTTGGGTCTTTACCCGAACATTCTTATTGTGCTTGTCTGGCCTATCTGGGATTATGAGGCTTTAGTGTCATTCTTAAACTGACTTTAGTTTATTGGTACAGTATTACTTATCAAAATATGATATACTAAAGTTATAGTAAGTACTGTGCAATAATTCGATGGTGCACTTTTCAGCCATCCTGGAAGAGATTTAAGTCATCCACACATGTTATGAAACCACTGAACAAATAGGAAACTTGATATCTTGTTAGTCCTTCCAGAAACAAAATGGCAAGTAAGAGAACTTACTCAAGTACAGTATACCAATTGTATGATAATAAGACCTAACTTTCAAACACAATACAATACGTGTATATGCTATTTGTCGCTATTGGTATCAATGTCTCAGGCAAGTGTGTTTTTTGTGCAAACCAAATGACATATGCAGCACACCAATATAAATAACCACAGGTATGGTTTATTGTTAGCCACTATTTTTTTGTGATGAACTGCTGACAGGAAGCATTCAAAAAGTTTAAAATGGCATACCATATGTATACTCGTGTATAAACCTATCTATGTTTAATTCGACCCTAGCTTTTGAGAAATATTAGGTATAATTCTAGACCTATTTTGTAGCATACACCAGATTCTCACCAACGCATGGCCAGAACTTATTACATTTGAGAGCTGGATATTTTTCTAGTGATGTCTGACAGCTAAGCAGAACACAGAAACTCAGTGGAAGCCCAAGCTCGCAGCCTCAGTCACCCCACACACCCTGCTCTGGTCGCCCAAGAAAGGCAACAAAAGGTAGACATGTTGTCAAAGGGAGAGGTGATGAGGACACACAGCTTAAGATTAATCATCCTACCCTGCTAGCAGACATCTTAGTGCTCATGGTGTAACACTGGCTTCAGAAGGACCTCAGCCTAACAGCCTGTACGCCAGCCAAGAAACTGTTTGTAGCTGCAGTAATGCGTAAGAAACTACTTACATTCGCAAAAAAATATGAAGATTAGACTGTGGAGGACTGGAGAAAGGTCATGTTCTCCAATGAGAGCAGCTTTAAGTGCTTCACACTGAGGATTGGACAAGTGTCAGCTGGTGTGATAATCACAATACAGTACTGTACACAGAAGACAATGGAGCACAGTGATAGCATCAGGGTTTAGGGCTGTTTTAGTGAACAGGTGGGCTGGGAGGTTTATGTTTCCTCGTCATAAACACTACAATGAACACAGATACCAGAAAGTTATAGAGGATCATTTTCTGCATTTTCACAACATCCATGGGACCCAATACAGTATTTTATGCAATGGTTATGTGACAATAACATTGAAGTGTTGAAATTGGTCAGGAAACTTGCCAAATTTAACTTCAATTAAGAATGTGGAATTATATAAAACACAGTCGCATTCAGAACATGTGGGTGACTCAGTGATAGTAAGCCCAGGCAACTACAAATTGTTTGAAGGCCAATAGCAACATGACAAAACATTAATATGTGAGTATGTTACAGTAATTTGTTTGTATTATTGATTTTGTAGTAAAAATCCCCCCCAAAATTATTTGTACACAGTATGTGGCCTGTTCTCTTTGTGGAGTCTGAAATAAAACCTAACCTAACCAGACCCAAGTGAAACATTCATTCTGTTATTAAAGGCCACAGACCCTTCATATTTCCTAGTGTCATGTGCCAAAAATTTCTTGCCAGGGTCTGCTTGATTCACTAATTGAGATAAGGATTTTGTCAATTGACTAGGAGATCATTTCTTACCATCCCTTGATGAGAAAACATAAGGGCCTCGATTAGGGAATCTGGTTAACCATTCCTGAAGATTTTTAACTGGGCACAATATGTGAGGAACCCTTGTTTCATCCATTAGGCGTTTTATCCTAATAGGTTGAGCTTGGAAATCTTCCCTTTCATTTTTTTCTTAGGATCTCCGTAGGAAAAAGGATAACATCCTCGTCAGAAAATACCAATAATGATGGATTATTGGAAATTGAAATCAGTTCACTGATTCTCATACCCGTTGCTATTGCTAGAAGGAAAGCAGCCTTCTGGAGTAATTTATCCCTGTTCAGATTTATATTGTAATTAGGCCCCATAAGAAGATTAGTAACTTTTTCCAGAGACCAAGGCGGGATTCTCGTGGGTTGAGGAGGTCTCTGAATGAAAAAGGACGATCTTAGTATTTGATAAATCCTTGGGTTCAAAGTAATATTAAGACCCCAAGCCAGAGGGTCAACCAACGCTGATTTATAAGATGCAATTGTCGATCCTTGCAGGCCTTTAACTCTGAACAGAAATTCTAAAAATTCTAACACAACTGTTTCCGATAATGAATCTGGAGTTGTTAACTTGATAAATATTTGACCCTTCCAGAGATGCATAAATTGGCATCTTGTGATTTGTTAGGGAGGCAAACAGATCTATCTGTGGAGTTCCAAACTTCTTCACTAGACTCTTGAACTTCTATACCTTTAGGGACCATTCTGTTTCTGTCGATACAGGCCGGAGACGGGACAGCACATCTGCCCAATTGTTTTGCACTCCCGGTATATAAGTTGCTTTGAGGTAAAGTGTTTGTGTTGCACAAATACTGAAAATTTTTTCTGACAGTTGTAGAAGGGGCCAAGACCCTGTTGACCCTTGATGATTGAGACAAAACACTGCCTTTTGTTGTCCATGGCAAACAGGAGCGTCATATTTTGTAAATTTGGGTTTGCCGACTAAAAGAATAGGACCTTTGCTAATTCTTTTATATTTATGTGTTTGTCCCAAAGGAAGTTGCTACACTTCCCTTGACTGAATTCCCCTTTTGAAGAATGGTATCCCCATCCTATTTTGGATGCATCCGTACAAACAACCAAACCTGTTTGAGGCGGAACCCAGGGAGAGGGACCGATTAGATTGTCCCAGTTTGTCCACCATAACAGATGATTCTTTATCTGAATATGGAGAGAAGAAGCAACATTTCTGTTTCTGCGAAGCAACTTCGAGCCCAGATGAGATAGTTGCTTTTTCCTTAACTTTCCCAATGGAACCACTATTGTGGCAAAATTCAACAGACCCAAAAGTTTTCCCAATCGTGCCAAGAAACCTTGTGCTTCTTGCTGACGTCGCAAATGATAACAAAAAGTTACACTGACAGGAAGAAAAAGCAAAAGTTACTAAAGTTAACAAAAACCTCAAGAGAAATACTTGAAATGTACAGAAAAATAAAATTGAGATACAGTACTTCAGTCATATAATTAGGGATGAGGAGATAATTACAAATATTAATGAGCAAAGTTGAAGGTAGGAGGGCCAGAGGAAGGCGGAGACTAGGATGGATGAATGAAATCGAAAACTGGGTTCTCAGACAGATACATCTTGGAGGATTGATAAAAACAGCCCCAAAATTTTTCGAGCGAACAACTGTGGACACCAATCATCAGATACGTGGACAGTACTCTGAGTGATTGAGTGATGGTATTAAAATGAGATGATTTAGAACATCAAAATATTTGCAATATAACTGTACAACATTGGTCAGCAGTACTTGCTCTTCGTATGATGACCATTATTATATTAAGTGAGCCCTGATGTGGTCCATCCTAACTAATTATGGAACAAGAGCCACAAAACCTTACACACAACAAAGATATCTGCAAAATTTTGGATGCTGATTTCATGGTTTTTAAGTTCTGTTGTAATTTGTAATTTTATAAGTGATGAAGCCAAATGGCCAAGAAGAGACAAAGCCAAGACATATAAGGACTGCTCAATCCAACCAATCACAATCCCACAAGAAAAATATAACTGGTGCTTATTTTTCTATCCCAAATAAGACCATATCTACAGTACACACAAGATAATCTGTGAAAAAAAAAGTCATATATTAATAACTGATGCATCATACTAAAAAAACTGGTCTGATGGTAAACTCCTACAGTATTTTGTTGAACTTAAAGCAAGTAATCCAAAAGTCCTCCTTTAAACTTCCTAATTCAATGTACACAACAGCATATTCACAAAATCTATTGTGCCACACAGCATATTATTAAAAACTTCCTTACCATGTAAACATCAAACCTAATACAGTTAACCACATGCGCCTGTCATCTCATTTTCTCTGGTATGCCATGATTCTAGTGCAACCAAGTGGCTAATAAAAGTTCAATAAGGCATGCTCAGGTACACAGCATAATTGACAGTGAATGTATTTTGCACTTTGAGCAGTGACATCTGCAATGCCTGTGACAGGTGAGCCTGGGCACCATGAGCTGCGATACCAACATTGTGCGTGATTAACATACAAGAACAGAGATTGCAGTCATGCACTACTTGCTGCTGAACTGCTGTACTTTGTTTACCCTGGTCAGATGAGCATCCAGAGCAGCATGGATGGTGGCCACAGCTGTATCTTGTTCATAAACATTAAAAGTTCCCTGACGCACCAGACTCTGAGAGCGTTTGGAAGCACCCCTTGCTGATTCTTCACCATCTGGTGCTTCACGAGAGCTCCTCCCTCTACCCCTTGGTGTTTCTTGAGAGTCACTGTCACTCTAGAATAAAAATATTTGCCATGTTTTTATTTTTTGTCATATGTAGTTCTAGGAATGAAATGTTGACCAACTTAAGTATTAATGCCGAGTGGAAGAAAAACAACAATGGTGTACAGAGGATTTTAATGTAGTAAATCTGGACCAATTGACTGGTTTAAGATTAAAGCTAGGAATAGATACAGTTATATTTCATCACTGATTGTTAACTGTTTCAACTGTTAAACAACTCTTTCCTTAACTATGTCAGGAAATTACTAAAATGCCTAAGAACATGAATATTCCAGCAGGCATCCTACCAATAAATAAAGGTTGATCAAAAGTCCCTCCATAAGTTCTAATTCACCTGTTATACAACAATCATACTAAATACTTATTACATTCTTAAGCAACAGTCAGCCATATTATCCCTCAGGATTTAAGTGTCTTTCTGGCTCATTACTGTATTAAGTGTTCAGTAGGTTCTCTCATCTTTCCTTGCAAGCTTTCAGACAATACAGTACAGTATTTTGAAAAGCAATGAAGGTTGAGCCATGATTCCATTAAAAATGAAGTCAATTACCACCTATTTGGAAATTCGCAGCTGGTCCCTGGTCCCACAACCCCTGTAACCTAAAATGGTTCCCCCTACTGTCCAGAGAGACACCGAGCTGAGAAAAACTCAACACATTTTCTGAAAATTCACTGAAACATTAGAGAACCACCACACCCAAATATATAGGTAAAGACCCAAGTCTTGCAAAGAAGCATTCCCCATTTAAAACTGAGAAAAGAATTATAAAGTTCCATCATCCACATAAAATTATTTCAAAATTACAGGAATAACATGGGTGTCTTGCCAGGTCCCCTAAACTCATAACATATAAGTAAACCCTTGATAACTCAGAATTGCAGAAAAATATTCAACTGTAAATTATTCTTGAACTATTTTTTACATAAAAATATTTTGTGCATTCAACAATTTTTCTACTGACACTACAATTAGACTTATAAATACCTATTATTACAATCTATTGCAATAGATTGTAATAATAGTTGTATGATTTAAAAGTCCAATTGTAGTTTCAGTAGAAAATTTTTAGAATCTTCATTTATTACTTCTACACCTAACTTTAACCCGGCATATGGTCAGTAGACCCCAAACCTGATCCTGAATACTGTCATCAAGAAGATTACAGTAGTCCCTTTCCAACTATGATCAGTTAGGTTCCTGAAAAACCCTGTGGTTGGCAAATCTGTGGTTGGCAAAACTAAAGGCTTATAAGAAATAGGGGGTTAGGTTCCATGGCTTATATTAATATAAAATATAAAGTGAGTGACACAGAGGAAAGAATGAACCATACAAGCATGTTGACTCATTACACCCCTATGTCTTTAGGCAAACTATCACCTTTAATCTTTTATTTCTGAGTGATAGTTATCACAGGTGAGTGAATGACCTACCTGTAAGGAGTATGCTAAGAAAGGTTATGAAGATCCCCTACATATTTACCTGACCTTCACCCACCAGCAATGGTTCTCTATTTAGTAGTTCATTAACTTCCCGCTGGCGGCTGCGGTGTGACGATAACAACGACTGTAACAGCTCCAAGTTCTCTATAATCTGGAGGGAAAAACAGTCACCTTTTTAACAAGTCCAGTTCAGTGGCTATACTGTATAGTATACTGTAAATGCATAAGGCAATTTAGACCAATAAAATATTCATAATTACAAGAAGCAAACTTGTATTATAAGTCCATATAATTAAATACTTATTTGTCATTAGATTTTATGTTCTAAGATAATACAGTTTCATTGGTTTTAAATAATATTCTTTAACCATATGATCATGAATTTTTTTTTTCAAGATTCACAAAAAAAATTATTTTAGATCCAAGGTGACCACTACCATAGATTCTTATAAGTACATTATCATAAATAGTTACACATACCAACTGAAAAAAAAAATTAGCAACAATAAATAATAATTAATCACATGCAGCATTTTTTAAGATGTAAAAACATGTCCCTTTTGTATTTCACATAGACTACCGACAAGGTTCATGCTGCAATTTAACCCATAAACATGCTACAGTACTGTATCTGTAATATAATGTCTGATATAAATATATATATATATATATATATATATATATATATATATATATATATATATATATATATATATATATATATATATATATATATATATATATATATATATATATATATATATATATATATATATATATATATATATATATATATATATATATATATATATATATATATATATATATATATATAGTAATATATATATAAGTCCATCGGTACTTAAGACCTGTTCTGAACTTACGACCGTCAAGACATACGACCGCCGCAGTCGTGACCAAATTTTTTATTTATTTATTTTTTCAGATGACGTGCGCATTTTCTATACTGAAACGTTTCCAGTTAATGTAGTCTCCATGTATAATTAGAAAATTATGGGGGCCCCGAGTGCATTCAGCTGACTACATAAAAGGTAAGTGCTCAGTCACACTGTATCCATTCCTTATTATTTATTACTTTTACTGTACTGTATTTCATTGTAGATTTTTTTATTTTTTTTTGAAAATTTATTTTTATGCAATTTTTTTTTTATTTATTTATTTTTTATCTATGTCGGACTTACGACCATTCAGACCTACGACCTGGATTTGGGTCCCTAACCCCATCGTAAGTCAGGGAGCACCTGTATATATATATATATATATATATATATATAATATATATATATATATATATATATATATATATATATATATATATATATATATATATATACATATATATATATATATATATATATATATATATATATATATATATATTATACACATATACCTAACAACGTCTGACATATATATATATATATATATATATATATATATATATATATATATATATATATATATATATATATATATATATATATATATATATATATATATGTATATATATGTATATATATATATATATATATATATATATATATATATATATATATATATATATATATATATATATATATATATATATATATATATATATATATATATTCCTCGACTTACGACCTACTCGACATATGACCACCAGCACACACGACCGCCACAGTCGGTACCAAAATTTTTTCAAATGATGAGCGTATTTTCGAGACCGAAACGTTAAGGTCCCGTACGAGAGCGTCGCGTGGGCTGGGTCGCCTCATGGCTGCAGCATCCACACCGTAGAGCGCTCAGTTGGTGTTTGGCTGTCGTTGTTGTCGGTAGTGATTGCGCTGTGTACTGACAATATTTTCGTTTCTAATTCACTTTAGAACAGTGGTTCTCAACCTTGTTTGCCCCATGCACCCCTTTCACCATATGTCAGAATGTCATTCCCCCCTCCTTTCCAAGATTGTCTGCCTCAAAAAGTGCATTCCAAATAATATGCATATAATACTGAAAATCCTTTATTTTTTCCATATTAGTATCAGTTCCCCCCCCCCCCCTAAAACCTGAGGGGGGAAATTCCCCCCTGGTTGAGAACCCCTGCTTTAGAATGACTGGCAAGCGTAGAAATGAGAGTTCTGGTGGTGCTCAGAAGAAAAGGAGACAGTCAATTACTTTTGAGAAGAAAATGAAGTTAATAATGCAATGTGAAAATGGAAAAACGGTAGCAACCATTTCACGCAACCTAGGCTTCTCTCACTCGACGATATCAACAATTTTGAAGGACAAGGAATGAATTCGTGAGATAGTGAAAGGATCAACACCTATAAAGGGAACAATAATAACGAAAAAAGACAAGGTCCTATTCACTAGTATCTTTATTTAACGAAAGTTTCCCCCACTTATAAAAATTTTGGTCCAAGCAAAAATTCAAATTGTGTGCCCCTGAGGAATCAGCCGGGGCAGCCACATCCTCCAAGCCCTCTCTCTGCCAGGCTGAGGTGCGAGCCAAGTTATGGCTATTTTTCAACTCACAATTTCAGGTAGATAAACATAACTTTCTAAATATTTTTTTACCCAAGTTACATAATGTGCAAAAAAGGTAAAATATATAACTATCGTAGGATCAAAAACATACAAGGAATAAACATTTCTTTATGTGCGAGAGCAGGAAGGGGAAGAAGAGTGTAGGAGCACCATTGCTTGGGGTCGGCAGAGGCAGCGTCCCAGCTGGGCTGCATTACAATAGCAAGTGTTGAGGCCAGGCAGCCAATACCTTACACAAATGGTGTTTGTGCTAAACTTTCACTTAGCTTTCCCTTAATGGTTTAAGCTGCATATTTTCATCTAGATAGTATTTATTGATGTTTTAGTGTGTGAGGTAATAAATTACAGTAATTGTGTACTATTCATCATTAGTTAGGTAGGTTTTTTTTGTTTATGAATCGATTTCGTGTTATTTTAGGGAATGATACTGAGGATTTCTTGTCATTGGGGAGCTGAACTCTTATTTTTCCCATATGTTCTGTTATTCGAGATACAAAAATTCACTTAACGAATGGTTTTCAGGAACCTACTAGGCAAAGGATACCTGTATACATATGGTATGTCTAATTTGTTCATTAATTTACATCAATAGAAATTCTTAAAAATTTGTAGAACACAAGATGTTAGTAAAGTACAAACTGTTTCTCAGATACCATATAAGAACTAAAAACAAGTTCTAATAATACTGTACATACATAGCTTATCATAAAATAAAAAATACAGGTTAAACTGTGTCAACATTACATGAAAGATCATATTCCTGGCAAAATTTTATATCAGTGCCATAACTAACAGCTGATGGGCATTCAATTTAATTTGTTATTAATATGGTTCAGGCTAAAATTATAGGTACATCCATACCATATTAAATATTATGTGACTTCTCTATTCCTTCATCTATCCCACACAAAAGTGGGGGAAAAGATAACAGAAACACATGTGTCTTACCATACTTACAAAATGTTTTACTACCTTATAAATACAATTTATCAACTCATCCAAATGCAACTACAAACCTATATTACTTATACAATATAGCAGCCAAAACCATTTCTACTGTACATCAGTAATGGAGAAATTACTTAACAAGTGATTTAGATATTCTACTGACATGCCATTATGTTCATGCAAGACTAAATTTCTACTTCCAAGACTTTTCAGTCAAAGATATACTCACTCATAATTAAATTAATAGGTATATAGGTTCAGTAATCAGGAGGAAGAGAATCAGAGGACGTAAAAAAAAAAGGAATAAAAGAATATAATGGTTGTGACAATCTCTCATAAAAACTTCCTGTGGTAACATTTCTTACCATTCTCAATTACTTACATCTGATATATCATAATTTTGAAAATACAAGGTGATCTCGTTAAACCAGCATTCTTTAAAAGAGAATTCTATGATACGAGGTTAAGGAATTTGCACCTTATATTCGCTATATGAGCGATATTGTTCGATGATAATAGAAGCAAGTATTGCAATTTACCCACCCGAGTAGGCGGAACAAGCAGTGACGTGGTCTGTTCTGTCTCTTGTGACGTAGATGCACAGAGATGTGTTTGTAAACCACTCGGCCAGGCTGCACTCCCCTCCCCTACATCCCTACCGTCCTCCCCCCAGTCACCCTCTCCCTTCTTGCAGTGTTTGAATCTGCTATCCGAGTTTGTCTGCTCATACCGAATCCACATTTATTTACTGTCATCGCTATACTGTGTACTGTGCTGCCTAAGCATTACGCTGCCATACTTTGGAACCTGTTTATTGTTTTAAAGGCATCCCAAACCCAGTGTAGTGCTACAGTCATGCCTCCTAAGTGTTCAACAAGTTCAATGACCACTCCAGTGTACCTATTCCTTTCCCAAAAAAGAAAGAGATAATTGTTATGCATAAGTGAGGTGAACGGGGATCCAATATTTGCCGTGTCTTTGGTTTGTCGTCATCCACGGTGTGTACACTCCTGAAAAATGTTGACTAAATTATGGAAATGGTTGGTATTCGTGTGTCCAGTGCAAGTGTGCAGGCTACTCGTGATTATGTTATGGAGAAGATGGAAAGGTTACTATGAATCTGGGTGAAAAACCAGAACCAGGCCTACATGCCACTCTCCTGGTTAGAAAAAAATAATATGTCAGTGTTGTCGGTGCTCAGGAACGCATCCCTATTTAACCCATGTATTATTCCCTCCGTTATACAAGTTTTCGCTACACGAGCAGACTCCAAGGAATGTATCTACTCGTATCATCGAGATCACCCTGATAACAGCATTAAAACTACTGTGCATTCAAAATGTATCTTGCTAATATATTCATGGAAGATACTGTTGCAGTGTAAAAAAAAATTTCTCCTCTGGGTGCCGGGTTCAAACCGAGACCACCACGGTTGGTAATCGAACCCGGCACCCAGTTGTGAAATTTTTTACACCGATATACAGTATAGTCTGGATTTACGCGGTTTTTGTTTACGCGTTTGGTCATTTACGCGGTGCCTTGCCAGAATGAAAAAGTTTAAATTACACAGTAAATTTGATCATTTACGCGGCGAGCGGCTGGAGGTCCAGACGCGCCGCTCCATTTTTTACTCGAGCGGTCCATTCTTGACCATATGCGGGAAGCGGGGCGGTGAGTGGTGCACATTAGGCTGCTCTTATGTTATCGCTGACGTCATATGACGTATCGGACTGTGATTGGGCCACGCATCCTTACCACTCACGTATTCCCTCCGCCGCTAC